GCCAGTCGCAACTGTTTGACTGTTCGACTGTGTGACTGTATGACTGTTTGTCTTGTCTGTGGCCGTTAGCGGGCCGTTAGTGCTGTTGTAATTGGGTTTCAGAATATGACGGAAAGAGTGTTGCTAATCAGCAAATCACACTCTGGCGTTGAGTAGACGAATTACAGTGCAGTAAAAACTGAATGTCGTTCGTTGTCTCTCTATGCCAATTGGTTTGAAATTTGGCCAAAACCAGACAACCTGTTTGCATAGAGATACATACGATTATATGGTGGCAAATGGAAAGGAGGCAGTCTGGGTAGCTATGGGTGTGTACAAGTATGATGACACAGAAAACTGTCATAAACTGGCCAAAGATATGACTGTGCAATAGAATTTATTTGCACTAATCAATAGTCGGCTAGCACACTCCAATTGAAACACTCTGATTAAAACAAGACAAAATATATTTTCCAAATGTTAATCAACTTGTTTAACACTTCCGTTATTATATATTTAAATTAGTGCATCATTGATATGCATGCTGCTCTTATAATTGGCATAATTTACGATTAATTTTCCCAAACCCTTTATGGCAAACAGACGAGCATTTATTACTCACATTTATTGATTATGATTGAAGTAGCAATTAAAAAATTAAGTTTATCACCATTTCGCCATTTCGTTTTATATCTTGGCCGTTTTTGAATGCCTTTTTCGTTTTATAACACGTTCCGACTAAAATGCCATGAACCTATATTTCTTATATCTTGACGATGCAGTTTCTTAAGCATAAATATTTAACGCGGCTAGAGCTGGTGAAAGAGCATAAAAATATTGTGCACTTTTGGCTAATCAGCAGCATGGGGGCAACAGAGCCATAACAAAATTCACAACAACAACAACAACAAGAGGCGAATTTATAGAAATAGTTAAAACCATTTGTGTTGATATGCGCATTTTAACTACGCGCTTTGCTTTGGACACCGAGCCGAGCCAAAAATAGCAGCAGAGTAGGGTAGGGTAGGGTAGAGTAGAGTGTAGGATAGGTCCGAGTTATACGAGAGAGAGAGAGAGAATGAGAGAGAGGAGGGATCGAGGGAAGAGAGAAAGAGCGACATCAGTTGGCAGGCAGCCGGCAGTTGGGCAGTTGGCCAGGTGCGGGTGCGCTGGAAACTGGTTGGTCAGCACTGGGATATATGGATGGATGGCAGCCGGCGCGACCAACTGACCAAAGCAAATCGAACCAGCGAGCACAAACGGCCAACTGTCTGCCCAAGTTGGTTGCCTGCCGCCTGGTGGTGGTGCTAGTGGTGATGGTGGTGCTGGTGGTGCTGGTGGTAGAAGTGTGGTACACACCCGCATCGGAGCAGCAGACGTCGACGCTGGCGCAGTTTAAAACCAGATTAGCGCACAAGTCTATGGCTAATTTTTTTCATACTTTTTGGTAGTCGGTAGGTAGTTGTACTTGTATTAGTTACTTGTAGTGGTTGGGTGGTGGGGTCTCCTTTTATTTTTATTTGGTGTGGGGTTTAAGCAAATTTGAATTTGAATTTTAGCGGGTGATAGTAGTTTCAACATCATGCTCTTGTCGTAGTTGTCGCAGTTGTTGTGGTTGCTTGCTTGCTGGCCTGCTTGCTGGCCAGGCCAGGCCACTTGGTCAGTATATATTTGTATTTGTATGTCCGCAATCGTGGCATTTTGGGTTGACAGTGCCATTCGCTGGTCGCCGGCTTAGAGTAGTCGCAGCGCTGTCTGTCGGTCTCTGTGAAATATATAGGATGACATGGGCATGGTTATGGTTACGTGCATACAAAAAGCCACTAAGCTGATTACGAAATTGTTGACCTTTTCCTCTTTGTACAGCAGCAGCGGCAGCAACAGGCCCGAAAAGTTGCAGCCACTTGTCAGTCGAATGGCAAACGGCAGTGGCGAAAGGTTTATGTCAACGTGCTGCTCCAAAACGATAATTGCACTTAAAATGGCAATTAATTCAATTTACCGCCGCCTGCCTACCTACCTAAGACTTGGAGAATGTGCACCTCCTCCTATGCACAAAGTGTGTTGTTGTTGTTGTTGTTCATGTGTGCGGGCAATTTCCGCAATAAAAAACTTTAATTCAAGAACTATGTCTCCGCTCCCCTTGCAGCTCACAGGCATGCCACTTATATTAACGATTTACTTAACTATTCATATGGTTTGTAGACTACTTGTGTACAGTACAGCCTATTGACTATTGGTTAGTATGCCATTTCTCATATTATATGACAGTCTCTTTTGGATCAGCAATGAGAAAACAGCTGAATATATTCTATATGTTTTTCCTCCTCTTTTAAGAGTGTGCCATCCATCTCTAGATTAAAAGATGTGCCTGTTTATAAAAAATAGATATTAAGAGTCAATCAACATTCTCTCGCAGGTCAATGGCATGCATTTTATATTTAACGACTAACTTATTAACTTAAAGCCAATTAAATTCTAATAATTGATTGTTAGTCAGTTTCTAGTATGCCAGTTCTCATATTCTGGATCAGCAATGAGAAAACAGCTGAATAAATTATGTGCAAGTATGTATTTCTATATGTTTTTCTTTCTCTTTTGAGAGTGTGCCATCGATCTTTCTAATTACATTTGTACCTTTATTTAGATTAAATGAACATTCCCCTGAATTAAAGAGAAACAAATTTTAATAGATTTGTGTAAAATATTTTTTAAAAGAAAGAACCCTCCATAATTTGTCGTATTCGTGTTCCCTTTAATAGTTGCGAAAAATGTCAAGTCTATTAAAATAGCATTTCGAAATTCTTCAATTACGGGGGGTGGCACCCTTTTCTAAGCTCGTATTTTTCTAAGAACACCTATAAATAACTGTAGCTTCCTGTTGCTTCCTGTTGCTATGTGTCTTTCCATAGGGGTGATCGGCTATGTTATCTAAGACTAGCTGTCAATTAGTCATAAATCGTCATACACTAGTAGTGCTTAGTTCAGCAATTACTCAATATATTTTGTGGCAAATATTGACAAAATACACTTGCAGCTCAAAGCCTAGGGTGGGGTTTATTGATTGGCAAGTTTGCATTTAAGGTTACTATATTTTTTTGACCTCATAGGGCGATGTGTAACGTCAATTCCCCCTCAGTTGTTTGTGGAAAATGTAACCGCCGATTTGTCAATCGTACTGCTTTGACGCACCTTGCCTTTTTTCGAGCCCTCGAAGCTTCCACATGCCGGCAGCTGGTAATGGAAGGCATACCTGCGCATAAAGCGGTTGGTGGTGGTTGAAAAAAAAAATGAAAAAAAAGTGAATCAAAGCAAGCAAAAATGGTGAGAAAGTTCGACGAACAACCCTCCTGGTTGGATGTTATGGGATCTGTTGCTGGATGATAGGCCTCACAAAAAGCACCAGCCAGCTAGCCAGGCAGCCCATGTGGCAAGCTGGTGTGCTGTTGTGGCACTTTCAAGGGCGCAACAATATGCTGCGCATCAGCCAGCCAAACAGCCAGCTAGCCAGTCAGATGGTAACCCACCCAACTGGTGGATATGGACGAGCATTTATTATTGTTGTTGAGCTGTTGCTTTGATTGTTGTTGCTGTTGTTGTGGCGAGCATATTGAAGCTGTTATCCTGCAGCTGCGCAGTAGTCATATTTTTTGGGGTGGCTTGGTGGGAAAATAATGTTGGTCGGTTGCTGTTTCATTGCCATTTCGTTTCACAACATTACGACGCTGATTAATTGCTTGATTTGCACCGATTTATGTTGCCCGCAAAAACTGTACCTGATCTCTCCCTCTCCCTCTCCCTCTCTCTATCTCTCTCACTCGCTCTCACTCAGTCTTATAACTGCTGGAATTTTTGACCATTTCGGCGTCATGTTGCTCTTTTCAATTTAATGCTTGTGAGAAAGCGCAATCGGTCTTTCAGATTGTTCACTTGGATAAGTTTAAGGAAATTGCATTAATTGCATATGCATATGGAAAAGGAAGGAATTGTACCTATTCTTAACATCTGAAGCGTAAGATTGAGCAACATACAAATTGAAAAACGAAAAAAGTTAGCTAAATTTTAGTGAAATGGTTTCAGGTTACTGGGAACGCACGGCATGATAGCGCGAAGCAACTAATTTGGGTAACTTCTTTACCAATATATTTATATAGTATAGTATATGTAGAACTCCAACTGGTTGGCAATTTCACAAATCATAGTCATTGAACTGCAATGCCCGTAGTTAGAACGTATGAGAATCTATGGATAATAAAACATTTAATATGCATTCAATGAGCTGCGAAATTTAAAGGCACACTAACAGTTTGCATACGATAATTGGGGTTACCAAAATCTACGGGTGATGGATGGATGTGAACCTAAAAACTTACAACAAATGTATCGGGGTGTCCACAAGTATGGCTTCCATCTAAGATATCGGGACCGTTGCGCTTGATTGGGATATATTAGAATTACAGTATGTATGTTGCCAATTCCCCGAATAGAAAACCGCCTGCTGCATCGCAATATCACTGCTTGAATGCTCTTTGACTATATTTTAGGCACATTAGCCGATACCGATATATGTACATCTAATTCTGTTTTTACACGGTAGATTGGTTCCAGAAACAACCGTGTAAAAAGGACAAGATCACATGCAAAAAGAGGTGATTGGTTCCTTATCTCTATACATACAATTTTTTTATTTTCAAACCGTGTATCAAAATCGTTTAAAAAAGATCGTGTATAAACAGAATTTGTATTCGGGGGGACAAAAAATGAAAAATACACCCTTGGTATTCCAAAGTTTTATATTAGTTTTGAAGGTGTGATGGCATTATTGGAGTACTTATAGTCTAGAAACCAAACAGCACTTGTAACGCTAGAATGAGTTAATAAACGAAATAAAAACGAGAGAAATCCGTTCTCTCTACACAAAGTTTCCTTTTGTGTAGTTAGTAAGTTAATTTCGACCCACATATAAATAAACATTTTCTTGCTTCACAACTCATGTCGTTTTCTCTTACTTTCAATTTCAGTAAGACATCCAGGATTCTCTTTCATAAGCAAGCGGGCCAATATTTTGTTGCAGCTGCGAGCCATTTCCATTTTCAATTGAAGGACAAATGACTGCGCATGTGCAGGTCGTAAATAAAATCAACAGCAACGGCAATTTGCGAATTGGCGGCACTTGTTTTTATTTTTAGGTAAGAAAAGCTAAGCCAAGCTATCTAAGCCAAGCCAACCAGCCGCCAAACAAACACCTTTTTTGTTTTGCCAATAAAGAGAGGTTAGTGGGCGGTAACGATGCAGTATTGATTCGGATTGACAAATTTCTACTCATTTGTATTTGTTGTCTCAGCTCTGCGTTTTCGAAGCCTCAAGTAAGGCGGCACAGCATCAGCGAAAAACAATTGGAGGCAGTTGCAACCAAATTAAGACTTTACGACCAATAGCCAGCTGCGTCGTCACCGCAATCAGCGCCAACGGCCAGGGGCAAGAATGAATATGTATGTGTCCTGGTCGATAGTGAAACTATCTAGAGAAAATGGAGCGCGATTACAATTCCTTGGACTTATTTTTCACATCCCTGCGAAACATTGAAGTTATAACAAGAATCTAAGTTATGAGAGCCGCTAAAAACAGTGCAAAGAAGAGGAAACTCCTGGAAAACAATGATTGGCTCCAGGCAGGATAACTGTTTCATATCTATAGAGAGGTATTAGGTTTGGGCAAGCTGAAAAATATAACAGGCGAAAGAAGGCGTGGCAGATGGGTCGATCTACTATGTCTGTTCTTACAGACCATAAGAGATAGAGCCACCATAAAAGCTCGACTAAAAACAAATCCTAAAAAGGAGACAACTTCGGACGAAAATGCAATGAGTTAATTTTTTGGAGTAGACTGTGTTATCGAAGACGAGATAGTATTTGCATTATTCCGTTTACGGGTGAATTCGTGAGCCACACATGATTTGGTCAGATAACAGGGTAACGATGTTGAATGACGAAATTTTACGCATATACTTACGTATCTAATTACTGAGAATGATCTTTAATTGCATTGCAATATGACATTTCTCTACTATTTGAGCTTCTCTCCAGCTATCCTGGGCATTTTTCCTGAAATCTTGGTTTTGTTTCTTGTGGTGTTGGGGTGGTGTTAGTGTGGGTCCTGGTATAGGTTCTTGTTGAGCTGTTAGTTGTGCTGGTGTTGGTTTCATGACCTCGTTTTATTTGCTCATCATATTTTTTCGAGGGCCACTTGGTTTCTGAGTGGCGTTTCATACTGGTTTTACTCGGGTATAAATGGCGTCTGCAAGCACTCCAAAATTTGTTTGTTATTTCCAAGCTATTGTCGTTATTTTTTCGTTGAAAAGTAAAGAAAAGTTAAGACGTAGATCTATTTAAGGAGTGTAGACAACCAACAACAACTGGCACAACCGCCACAGCAAACAAAGAATAGTGGCTACAAGCATACACTTCCTGGCTAACCAGGAGTTTCTTCGGCTGGGATATACCATTTTGCATTGGCTGCAAACGCCATTTATATCATCCGACCAAAACCAGTATAAAACGCCATTCGGCAACGCAGCGGCATCACAAAAAATATGACCAGCATTTCAAACAAGGTCATGAAACCAACACCAGCACCAACAGAACCACAAAAACCAACACCAGGACCAAAACCAACACCACCAAGACCAACACCACACCGAATACGGCCAGGATTTCAGGAAAAATGGCTAAGAAATGCCATATTGCGCTGCTTGAGCATAAGAAGAGGTCATTCTCATTTCCTGTTTCCATTTCGGACAATATATTTCTGGCCACGTATTTGCCCGTAAAAGTAATGCAAATGCTATCGGTCTCCTCCAAAAAACTAAATCATTCCATTTTCGTTCGAAATTGTCTCCTTTTGAGGATTTGTTTTTAGTCGAGCTTATATGGTATCTCTATCTCTTATGGTCTCTGAGATCTAGGTGATCATACGGACGGACGCACAGACAGACGACATAGATCGACTCATCTGTCACGCCTCCTTCTGCCTGATACATTTTTCAGCTCGCGCAAGCCTAATCTCTACGTATAAAACAGTTTGTCCTGACTGAATGACTGACTGACTGACTGATTGAAATTTGGTTGGTTCTGGTTGCCGTTACCAGCGACATTGTGAAGATTTGCTTTATGTTATGTTTACAATTAAAGATTAAATTATGTATTATGTTCATTAATAAGAATTCCGCAAGTTTTGAGTTATCATTTGTTAAGAACTATCGTGATTCTGCACATCCAAAAGTGGAAATCGGTTAAAGCGATTCCTTGTGCAGAAAAAGCTGAATACTTCTGAATCAAAAAAGAAAAACCGTAATATAATTGTAAGTAAAAACAACTTAGCCCAGCAACCACGAGCAAGATCTGCTAGTATGTATTTCTAGGATATGTAAGATAATTGTGTTCTCTTTATTCTTTCGTTTGAAAGTTTTTGAATGTCAACTTTCTCAGAGTTTTCGGTAATACAAATGTCTTTAATAGTATGTAATATGTATAGTCTTTCTCAATTACATAAAACACTAGTCTCACCTTTTTAAAAAGATATGAAGATATGTTCTTGTCATTTAAAATACCCTCGAAGCCAATGGCTAACAGGACTTGAAATGTTATTTCCTAATAAGATACTCGTATATATATAGAAAACTATCTATTTTGCATCTTTTTCAACAATTCAATTAGTATTTATTAAGATAAAAATACTTGGAAATTTAGGCTAACCAGCTTTTAAAACACATCGACATTTAGTGATTAGCTAGAAAAGCTGATGAGCCTAAATACTAATAAAAATGTTGACGGGACTATGGACCGGAGATCAAGGTTCAACAAGTTTTTCTTAACAAGCTAAGGTTTGTTTATGGAAAATTAATTTTTTGGTCGATATAGATAAATTAGTTGTAGTAGCATCTAAAATCAGAGTAACAACCATCTTTTTATAGCTGACTGATTTCTTGGACAAATTATTTGCCTATCGGAACGCAGACAAAAAATCACTTACTTCTCTCGCTATCAATTTGGTTTCCTTACTTTTTAAGGACACATCAGATTTTGAAGGCCAGAAGAACTTGGCTCAGCTCAGCTATTATATTAATTGGCTCATTATGCTTTCCGATGAGTGTGGGAAACTCTCATGGTTGGTTCTCTTCCTTCCTTACTCGCTGACCTGGCCCGCTGCTTTGCCCTGGCCCTGGCCCAGGCCCAGGCCCAGGTGTAAGGCGTGTTTCGCTGTAATTTACACTGTCACTGCCAAAAATAATTTGCATAATGTGTGCTCCTCTTTCCCGACTGTTGCACACTTGCATCCGGCCTAGCATGTTCAATGCGCATTTCCTTCGTGGCAGTGAAAATCATGGCAGAACAAGGGTTAAACGGAAGTGGCATCGCATTGCCTTTCACACATTTGCATACGAAGTTGTTGTCACCATGCGAGTATGGGTTTATTAATAGACAAGTTCACTTTGGAGTGCATGGGAAGGCAGAGAGGCTTAGCCTTAGCCTTGGGTTAATGTATGCTAATGGCAAGGTGTGCGAGAGTCCGTTTCTCATTTCCTCTGGCGCGCAACCCTTCCAGTGTATGCCCAGCAATTGAATTGATGACGCAAGTGTTCTCAGGATACATCTGTATTTGTATTTGTATTTGCATTAACATTTGCCAAAGGAAACCGAACTGATATGATTTCTTTCTGAGGAGTATAGGTGGTGTTTCGATATTGTTGTTAACTTCTGATTCACACACTCTCACAGCAAATGCGAACCCGAATCCGACCCTCTGCTCTGCTCTGCTTCAATTTGTTTGGATCGTAGGGAGACATTGCACCGTCAAAACATAAAGTTGCGCTTATGCTTATCTTCGGGGCTCATTAGTTCTGAGTATACACCTCAGACAGCAACAACTTGCGGCGTCCAGGTGTTCCATAGAAATCGAAAACTTCCCTCGTGGCATACCGGTTTTTGGAAGCGTCTTCGACTTCATGGTCTGGTTGGTTGGTTGGTTGGTGGTGGCAGCTCAAGGTGGTGTGCCCTCCTCTGTTGTATCTAAGTTGCGACGAAGACGTTACTTTTTTGGGCCGGGCACGGCACACATTTATGCAGAACAACTACTTGTATGTTATAGAAAGGTATACAATTATGTGTCATGTTTTTGTGATTTTTCGTTTGCGCATGAAATTCAAAAAGCAGCTGCTCAATTTTGTGGCAAGTTTTGGCATGTGCTGCCTTCATTGTTGCTTCTCCAAAGAAGCAAGTACGCAATAGTTTTACTGGGGTGGGCCACTATGTATATTTCTAGTTATAGAATAATAGCAGGTCGTGCTCTGTTCTGTGCCTGTGCTGGTCTCACCAGAGCCTCAATTCACAAAGTTATGATAGGCATTCAGATATGTGGAATTTAGGGGACAAGCCAAAAGACTTTCACCTAAAAAGAGACTAAATATATGAAGGCCCTGTAATTGCTCCCGCCCGAGGCCGTGCGATATATTTATGTTATTGCCCATTCGCTAGCACCCAGAAGGCACATGTCGCACACTCGCGTGTAAAAAATTGCATTATCCCAGCAATAAACAAATTTAGGAAAATAAAATAACAAAAAAACAAGAGGATGATGCTGAAGTACGTCGAATATTAAATACCCTCACATAAAGAACACAATTTAAATTAAATTTGAAAAGGCATGCCAGCTGTAAAGAGAAGAGAGTATTGTTCCTATTTAGAGCTTTCTACATTTCACAAGCGTGAAGAAAAGACAAGTCTCTGTAATATTTCCGTTTCTTGAGACCTGTCATTCAGACATAAAAGTCTTTTGGGAAGTTACAAAACTGTTTGCGTATTAACAGCTAACATTTGCACGGGCTGTAATTCTGATATGAAATATCTTGAGATGAAATGTAATTTCTCCCGACTAGTGCCACTGTCATTTATATAAAATAATGCTTAATGCACGTTATTTGATTAGCTATAGGCTCCGTTGCAAACAGTTATACAAAAGTATAATGCTCTTTGGAAGGGCATTGAGAATAATGCCCCCGCAGGCAACGCACAGCTGCATAATCAAGGCTCAAGTGGCGGCCCATTAGTTGACACCGCGCCACGTATCCCAACTTAAAAGTGCATACAATATTTTAGAAACAATGGCCGCGGAGAAAGATTGCATGTGTGTGTGCTGCTAAGCTTCAGAAGATTAATAACTTGGTAGCGCACGTTCAATTAATCTTTCGTTGCAGAGAGATGCGTACAACTACCTCCCTGCTCCCCTCCCCCCTGCTCCCCTGCTCCCTGCCTCCAGCCAGGTCCAAGCCAGCACTCCTCACTCCAAACGCTGTGACAACTTTACGGCACGTCTCTGTGCTCCGTTGTCTCCAACGGCATTGTGTTGTTGTTGTTGCTGTTGTTGCTGCTGTTCTCATGTACCTGCCGCAGAGTCGTCGTCAGTGTCAATTGTGACAGGCCCTGCCAAGCAGAAGCGTTTTGCATGCTGATGCTGAAGGCGGGACATATTTTTAGGCATGCCCTGCCCGGGCAAACAAACAAACAAACTGACACGTTCACAGCTCCCACTCGGGAGCTCTTCTTCAAGAGCGTCCACTGCTCCAATGCTACTTGCTACTTGTTAAGGCTCCTACTACTTGCATTGACTTGTCGTCGAGCGAGCGACAACAGAAGAGACACAACGACCATGATCATCAAAACATTTGCCCATGAACGTGACAAAATTGAAGAACATAGCGCACGGTCACGTCGCATCCATAGTCATAGGGGCATAGCCATGGGGGATTCAACACACACACACACACACATACACTCACACACATATTCATATATGCATACACGCACACACATACTCTAAAATGTGTATCCCAAGCATTTAAGACATCTTCACTTCTTCAAATTGGTTGTTTTTGGAGATCTAAATTTAGGTGCCCAAATGGGCGTAAGGCATGTGCCGCAATCCATTGGCCATAAATCAATTTTATTGTTTTCTGATATATGTAGTATAGGCCTTATATATACATACTTGTATAATGCATTTAGTGTACACTGTCGCATAAAACAAAGTGATAAGCTCCCGAATATATTCGCTGAGAATGGGTTCTTCTCATTCTGCTCCTTCCTTCATCTAGATAGCTCTTAAGTAGAATTAATTTTTGTCCTCTACTAACTATTTTTTTTTAAACATTTTTTACTGACAAATATCTCTGACCATGGCTGTGTAACGGGACATAGTCCCCATAGTTTTGAGGCCTTCCTATTTTTTAAGTTCAAATTAAAATGTTGTATTATTCTATATTTTTATTGTTATTTAAAATAAAACATCTTTTAGTAATCTGTATCGACAGCAAAATTTGTTTTATTTATAAAATAAATTTATAAAATTTAATAAAGAGGATAAAATAGTTCGTAAAAAGAATCCGAATTGCTTTCTCAATGAATCGCATCTCTTTTCTAAAATTTTTAGAGAGAAAATACCACTTTAAGAGAGAGAAATAACACAAAGATTTGTATAGACCCTTAAAGCCAGAGTAAGGTCTTTATGGTTAACAATTTAAAATTCAACCAAATTTTTTGAGCCTATTGTATTTCAAATATAGGCACAATTTTATTTTCAGTAAAAGAGTTAAATACTAGTAAGTATAATCAACTCACAAGTAATGAAATATTGAAGTAGATTCTAGACTCCAAAGCTGCGGATATAGATGAATATATAATATATACAATATTATTCTCGGATTTATTTATTCATCAGTTCTCGTCACAAAATACTCTCTGCATCATTAAAAAATGGACAATTCTAAAAGCCATATTATTTTATGACTTATTTAAAAGAAATAATTGTATTCCTTGGTTTTTATTCTTTATCTTAAAATAAATCGGTTTGTTATAAATATTGCTTTGACACCGCATTTTGGTCGACAGTGTAACTCAGGTGTGCCCCACAATGCTTTTATTTTC